ATCCGTAAGATTGTTCGTTTCCTAGGTATGTCGGTGCCCATTATCTCCGATCGAGGCACGCAGTTTACATCGTACTTCTGGAGGGCCGTACAGTGTGAGTCAGGCACACAGGTTGAGTTGAGTACAACATGTCACCCCAGACGGACGAGCAGTCCAACCGCACCATTCAGATCTTAAAGGACATACTACGTACCTGTGTTATGGATTTTGGGGGTTCATGGGATCAGTTCTTGCCGCTTGTAGAATTTTCCTACAACAACAACAACTACCAATCAAGTATTTATATGGCTCCTTATGAGGCCCTATATGGGAGGCGGTGTTGTTCTCAAGTTGGTTGGTTTGAGTTGGGAGAGGCTAGGTTGTTGGGCACTAATTTGGTTCGGGGTGCCTTGGAGAAATTCAAGTTGATTCAGGATCGACTTCGTACAGCACAGTCTAGGCAGAAGAGTTATGTTTATCGGAAGGTTCGTGATGTAGCGTTTATGGTCGGAGAGAGGGTTTTTCTTCGGGTTTCACCCATGAAGGATGTGATGAGATTCATGAAGAAGGAAAAGTTAAGGCCTAGGTATATTGGTCCTTTTAAGATCCTTGAAAGAGAGGGGGAGGTGGCCTACAAACTTGTATTGCTACCCAGCTTTTCGACAGTTCACCCGGTGTTCCATATTTTCATGCTCCGAAAGTATTATGATGATCCGTCCCATGTATTATATTTCAGCTTAGTCCAATTGGACAAAGATTTGACTTATGTTGAGGAGTCGGTGGCCATCTTGGATAGGCAAGTCCGAAAGTTGAGGTCAAAGAACATTGCTTCAGTGAAGGTTCAATGGAGGAGCCAACCATTCAAGGAGGCTACTTGGGAAACCGAGCATGATATGAGTAGCCGTTATCCTCACTTTCAGTACTTCAGGTATGTCTCTATACTCATTCGAGGACAAACGTTTATTTTAATAGGGGGAGAATGTAACGACTCGGTCGGTCATTTTGAGTATTTTATCCCTATTCCCCTATTTATCGCATCCTCTATGTTCAACTATGGTTATGTAACTTTTCGGGGTGGTTGGTTTGGTTTCGGGTGAGTTTCGAAATGAATTGGGACACTTAGTCCCAAGGTTGAAAGCTTAAGTTAGAAGAATTGATCGGAGTTTGACTTTTGTGTAGACGACTCTGTAATGAAATTTTGATGGTTCTAATAGTTTCGTATGGTAATTTTGGACTTATGCATATGTCAGGATATTGATTTGGAGGTCCGTAGGTTAGTTTGAGGCTTTTCGGCGAAAGTTGGAAAGTTAAAGGTTTGGAAGGTTGATAGGTATCGGGTTCGGATTGTAGTTCCGGAAGTTGGTATAGGTCCGTTGTGCCGTTTGGGACTTGCATCCAAAATTTGAGCTCATTCGGAGTTGGTTTGATATAATTCGCATTAGTTTTAGAAGTTGAATGTTCATTTATTCAATAGGCTTGAATTAGGTTGTGATTAGTTGATTTGATATTGTTTGATATGATTTAAGGCCTCGATTAGGTTCGTGTTGTATTTTAAGACTTGATGGTATGTTCGGAAGGGGTCCCGGAGGCCCCAGGTGTGATTCAGATTGAATTCGGATTCATTTTGGACTTGGAGGATTTTGATGCCTGCTGAAGTCTGGTGCATTCGCACCTGCGCAATTTGGGCCGCAGGTGCAGCACCGCAGAAGCAGCCCATTGGCCGCAGATGTGATATGGGCTGGTGAGCTGGGTCTGGAGGTGCGGACAATTGTGCGCAGGTGCGCAACCGCAAAAGAGAAGTTTGGTTGAGTATTGAGGGACCGCAGTTGCGGTTGATGGCCGCAGAAGCGAACGCGCAAATGCGCCCTTGGGACCGCAGAAGCGGAAATTGCTGAGTTTTAGTGGAAGCCACATCTGCGATGAATTTTCCACAGATGCGGAGTAGCAGATGCGACAATTTGACCGCAGAAGAAAAAATCACTAGGCATAAAAAGGATTGAATCGAGGGTTTATTTCATTTTCCATATTTTAAGTTAGAGAGCTCGGTTTTGGACGATTTTGGAGGGAATTTTTAAGGATTAGATCGGCGTAAGTGTTTTTGACTCGATTTTATTTATTAATCATGATTCCATCATTGTTTTAATCATTTAATTAGTAATTTGAGTTGGAGAAGTTGGAGGGGGGGAGGGGGTTGTAAAAGATTTAATGGTTGACTTGGGGTCATAATTGGATAATTTTGGTATGGTTGAATTGTATCGGAATGAGTGTTAGGAATTTGTGAGATTGGTTGGGTTTCGAGGTGCGAGCCAAGGGTTGACTTTTTGAGTTCACTTTTTAATTTTCTTTAAAGATTGAAACTTTATTATCTGAAATTGCTTCCTATGGCTTGTATTTATGGTATTAAGTTATTTTGGCTGGATTTGAGTCGTCCGTAGTTAGATTTTATCGAGAAAGGCTTATTAGGGGATTGATTTAGCTTGTTGAGGTAAGTATCTTGTCAAACTTTGTGTGGGGAAAATACCCTTAGGGCTTGGGTTGATTTGTGTTATTCTAATTATGTGAAAGACGTGTACACGAGGTGACGAGTGTGTACACGGGCATTTGTGTTGTATTTTGACCGGAATAGACTCTTAGCCTCTTTCATGCATTTAATTAAAAATTATAATATCATGTTATATCTTCTGTTATTAAATTGCTCTTACATGCTTTACTTGATGTTGTTATCACATGTTCTATCTTTTATTGTCAAGCGTGTTTTTATATGCCTTAATTGATGTTGTTATCTCTCTTATTGTCATGTACATATTTAATTGTGGAGTTATTCTCATTTGAAGTTATTATTATAGGATGTCTCTTCGTGTTGAATTATTCTCATGCATTTAAACATAGTTGCTATTTAATACTATATTTTCTGTTGTTAAGCTTATCTTATACAATTAAATTGAAAGTTGTCTTTTCGTGGGAATATCTTCATTTTGAGTTATTGAAGTTGATGTTCTGAAAGCCATTATCATATTGAGATTGAATTTATTGATTATTGAGATATCTTTTCTTGTTGAGTAATTCTCAGTTATTTTGTTATTATTGAGGTTCTTGTTCACATTGTGGTTGAGCCGTGGGCTATATGTCGTAGTAACTTTGGTATTGTTGATTTTAGCAAGTTGTGGCATATGGACACTTGTGGTGCGAGTTGTTATTGTGTTGTGATATTGATGCGTATGCGATGGTATAAGGATACATAATAATGTGCATGCGGCGACATAAGATGGGATTTATGTGCGTGTTGCTAGTAAGGAAATTACTTAAAGCTACGCGGCGATATAAGGGGGCTAAAGTGCTTGAAGCTATTTCAAAAAAAAAAAATTCAAAAATATCTAAATGTAAGGCACGCGCGGCGGTATAAGGAACATGTTGTTATTTTAAATTGTGAAATGTAGATATGAGGCGTGGTACCTCGGTTGTGATTCTTGTTGTACATTTTATGTTAAAGAGGCTTGTTGGTTGAACAATTTTGTTATCTATTCATTTACCTTACTTGTATTTGTCCGCATTGATTTCTTGTTGTTCTTAACATATGTTCACTCCTTGTTGCCTTTATTGCTTTAAATTCTGTTGTTAGCTTACATTACTTAACTGTTTTATTGTCATTCATTTCCTCGTCTTCCATTATTTGACTATACTATACTTTGTTCAGTCTTCTAGTCCTAGTAGGTGTCTTGACCTGGCCTCATCACTATTCTACCATGGTTAGGCTTGATACTTACTAGGTATCATTGTGGTGTATCACGCTATACTTCTGCACATTTTTGTACAGATTCAAGTACATCTACTCGTGTCGGACGCCAGTGACCGTACAGTTATTTTCGGAGAGTTCTAGATATATTTGCTCGACGCTCGCATGTCTCAGAGTCACCTTCTGTTATCTTCTCATTACTATTTATCCTATTATCATACAGTGTTGTATTAGAGATTTTAGAGCATTCTGTAAAGCTTATGACTTAGTTCCACCGGTTTTGGTGATTGTGTTGTTGATGTTCCACTTTGGAGTATTTATGAGATGTATCGGTTTATTTCATTATCTCAGTTTTATTATTTCCGTTAAGCTATCAATGAATGTTAGGCTTACTTAATCGTAAAAACTCGGTGCCATCACGACATCCTAAGGTGGGAAATTAGGATCGTGATAGTCATCTGTTTGTGTTTAAGAGTGGAAGATATTATGTCTTTTTCTAGATAGTTTTAAGAATGTCAGACTTACCACCATGATCTATGTGTTACCTGGTGATTTCATGTATTGAAAAAGACCCTCACGTCTCCAGATATTCTGTCTCCCTTCCCTTATCTCACTTCCAGCTTTTCCTAATTAAGTGTTCGATAGTTGATAGTAACAGGTAACAGTTAATCCTTTTTTCAATGATTGGTATGTATATATAATACTCATTATTATTGTTGTTTAATGGGATGCATAGTGTTATTTTAAAGCCTCTGAAGAGTTGCATAATTTTGTTCATAATTAGTTAACCAAGTCTTATGAGTTGTACTTGGCCCATTGTGGACAAATGACCGATACTTGTCAGTTTCATTTTGTTCGACATTATTTGATTGACGCTAAATTCGGAAAAAGAAAGAAATCTTTTTTGACACATATCAAAAGTACTATTAGAACTTGTAGTTCAAAAATGCCATGATGTTTCCAATGGCTACTAGAGTGCATATCATTAAGGTTAAAAATAAGAAATTTAAAGTTAAAGAGTTTCCAAATGTTAGATGGTGTCAATTTTTTTGAACAAATTAAAACTGAAAATGTAGCATATAAAGTGGAGCAAAGGAATTGAAGTATTATTAAACTAGTTGGTGGATATTCTGCTCATTAATCATTGGTTACTGATTCCCAAAATATTTTTTGATATACAAGACAGAGTCTTCACTTGTGTTGGTATAAATATATGTCTTTATCTCCCATTATTTCCAAGCATCGATCAAATTGAGCTTCTCTATTATATTCATTTCCTTTGGCAGCCATGTCTGAAGGGGAATGGAGCTCCTTCAGTGGAATGTATTCTACTGATCAGGATGCTAAATTAATGTCACAGTTGCTTGTTAGCTGTTCGCTTTCAAATGAGCTACCAATTAGTTCTTTATTGACTAGTTATGAATCAACTATGAGCTCTCACAATAGTATCAACTTTTTTTCACAAGGAAGTAGTTATAATGGTTGTAATAGTTTTCCATTTTCCCCTCTGCCGAGTAATGAAAGCAGCTACTACCCGAGTCATTTTCGATCAAACGTGATGATAAGAAATGATAGTTCAATAACAATGGATCGATATGGCATATTGGTGGGAGGTGAGAACATAATTAGTTTACCCTCTGATCAGGTGCTTACTAATTACAATGCAATGATTGAAGTGGATGATTTCCTTATTAACCAAGATGTGAGCAATATTGATAGCATGGAGTCTGGTGAAAACACTATAGAAGGAGATGTTGAAGACAAGGTGGATAGTCCACCAGACAGCTTTAGGAAAAGATCCCGGCGGCTGGTTGGGGATGTGAGTATTACTTAATTATCATTCTGTTTTGATTTTCTTATATATATATATATATATATATATTGTCGGAATGGGGTTCATTCCTGATAACATTTCTCTAATTAATATAGGTGATCCCAAATAACAAGAGAAGCGTAAAGCTGAAGAAGACTAGCTGTGAGAAGGATGAGGAAAACAAGACAGTGATTCATAGGCAGAACTCTGTGATCAGTTGCTGCTCAGAAGATGAATCTGTTAATGTGTCTCACGAGTTAACCCGAAAAACCAGAGCCACCAGGGGTTCAGCAACTGACCCCCAGATCTTGTATGCCAGGGTATATGTAATTATAAGAATTCAGAAGTTACTTGGTTTCTAGATCTGCTAGTATATGTATGTCAAAAGGATCACTTATTTCCCTTCTTACAGAAACGAAGAGAGAGGATTAATGAGAGGCTGAGAATCTTGCAGAATCTCGTCCCTAATGGAACAAAGGTAAGTGTAGCCATATATTGAAACTGCATGCATTTGTGATTATGAAATCTGCTGAGAGAATTTGAACTTAAATATTCGATTGACAGGTTGATATTAGCACCATGCTTGAAGAGGCTGTCCAATATGTCAAATTTTTGCAACTCCAGATCAAGGTAAGATTTATTTTCCCTTCACTAAGTGTTAAAATGCATTAGGATTTAAACAAGATGATCGAGAGATACTCTACCTTTGTAGTCTAATCTTGGGGCGGCAAACGAGAGGATCAGGTCGAAAACGGGTTAGGCGAAAAAAAGATAAAATATCTTATTTAATACGGATAAAATACGGATTAACCGATGATAATATGGATATTCACATTATCCCTGGCTTCTTAGACATTCATTTTTGGACTTTTTGTCCAAATGCATACTACAAAACACTATTTATGCAAGGAGGAGACATATTTACTCCATTTCCTCATATATTTCTTTTAAAAAGGTAATTTCTGCAAAGGTTGGATCACTCTTTCCTTTGTATTATATAGATACTTTTATAATGATTTTAAAATTAAATTAATATCGCTATTTCATAATCAACATTTAGTTACTACACTTGAAAATTAGTTTTTATTTTATATTAGTATCCACATGTTTCTTCAATTATAATATTTTAATAATTTATTATTTACATAAACAAAGTATTAATTTTATGATCAAAGCTAAATAGAGTATAACTTCTTGTGCCCTTAAATTTTAGGCTCAGCACTTGAAATATTGGTTGTCTTATATGGAGTACACACGTGTCCAAATGGACTAGTAATATAGATAATACTTTAGCTTGTTCAGCAACATTTTCCTTTGAAATTCAGGTGCAAAGCCACATTAACGCATATTATTAGAATGTACTGTCACCAAAATGTACGGGACATTTTCTTATTTTACAATTTTTGTTATCCAAATAAATCAAACAATTATGAAAAAGAAGGAAAAAAGACCAACTTAAAGGGGAAAAAAATCCGTCATAAAAAATTACACCCAGTTAAGAGCTAGACTTTAGCTTATGACAAAAACGAGAAAATAAAAAAGAAAAAAGAAGAAGAAAAAAGAAAAAAAAAAACAAGAAAGAAACAAAAGGTTGACTTTTGCCATTTAATCTGCAATCTCAACAGTAGAGGTGCCTAAGATGGCAAATCTGCAAAGGTTCAATTCCATAAAATCCATTAAATCTGTACCAACTGGGTCATTAATGGGTGATGAAATCCATTTTTAACTCGTGGGGTGTCCCTTTTTTTTAGCAGATGAAATGGGTTGACCCATATTTGACCTGTTTTTAGTGGATCGGCTACTCAATTCATTTTCTAATAGATAATATGAGTGAATACTTGAAAATTTTATCCATTTTAAAATTGTGTAGGGATAAAATAGGTTGAAAGTCACTCTCATCATATACACATATACAATAAAAGGAGACATACAAGAATCTATAGCTTGATTGTCCATCATCATATAGTTTGAAGGGAGTGGTATAAAAGGAATGTATTAGTAAGGTAGTTTGTGATAATTGTATGCATTAGTTTAATAATGACATGGCTGCAGTGGCATAGCCACCCTATGACGAGGGTGGTCAAGCGCACACCCTTCGCCGAAAAATTATAATGCATATATAAATTAAATATTTTTTATATGGTTATATATTATATTTTTAACACCCTTAACATAGTTGAGTGAGACAGTCCAGCAATTTAGGGTATTTAAAGTGACGTGTGGTTCACGAGTTCAAAGTTCTGCTCATTTTATTTGCCAAATCTAAACGGAGACCACCATGTGCGGTCTATTTGCTTCTTTTTCAATTTAAAAAATTTCCTAATAAAATAACTCTTAAAACTTAAAATTTGTGTAGAAATAAAAAACTAATCTTAAAAGTAATTTTTTAACTAAAAGTTATTTCTTAAATACATTTTATAATTTGAAAGTCAAGCTCTATAGAATTTTCTTCAACAAAAGCTCTCTATAAACTACAAATTCTCTTGACTCTCTCGTTATTTTGGTTCTATGCTTACTTTTATTAGTAAACTTTTTAATGTTGTCATTTTGTTGTATTAATTTTGATTTATAAAACCATAGCTCTATTAATTTTTTTTTATTGTTTAGCGAAATGTTGCCTAGTTTGATTTAATACTTTAGGTACACCATTCGTCGACTAAAGAATTATTGACTTGTTTAAAGTTTGAACACCCTTGGCGGAATTCCAGACTACACCACTACATGGCTGACTAATCAACCAATATGAAACAAGATTAATGTGATGCTTTTTTTTTTTGGGCGTCTGCAGCTCTTGAGCTCTGATGATCTATGGATGTATGCTCCCATTGCATACAACGGAATGGACATTGGACTCAATCTGAAGATGGCCACTCCAGAATCATAATGTTGAAAAATTAAAGTTCAACACATATGGTGGTAATGGGTTTGGCATTATCATGCAACACAAGGAGATATAAATTATTGCCATTTTGTAAATGGTGCTGAATCAAGACTCAGCATATGGGGACGGGTTATTATGAAGACTAATGATTCTTCTGATTGAATATTCAAACCTAGAAATAAGCTGCCACCTCAACATGACGAAGGAAGTTTAGGTGTTTGTAGCATTTTCTCATCATTACACAAAGTGTTAATATAATATACAAAGCTGAATTAAAAGAAACCATATGTAATTATGATTTATTTCTAATGTGTTGGTCTATCAATCATGAGACTGATTGTTTCTTGCAAATGTGATATTTTGCATCTCTTGGCCGAAGTTGCACAGAAAAATATTGGTTGAAGTCATTCAAGTTTGCTTCAAATGTGATATTTTCCATCTCTTGGCCGAAGTTGCACAGAAAATGGTATTGATTGAAGTCATTCCAGTTTGCTTTGTTTAATGACAAGGGAAGAGTTGATTAATGTAATTACTACTACAGCACTACTACTACTTCAAAGGAAAAAAACACATACTGTTGTTGTTACGTTCTAATCTCAAGCTAGCTGGCATCATTCTAATTGGGTATGCAAGACCAATTTATAGACTAAGCCTATATTTACTTATTCACAAATAAAAATTGGAAAGGCCATAATGTTTCTATCTAGTTATTTTAAATATATATAAAGGGTAAATTTCACAAATGGTCATATAACTATGACTTTTTTTCACCAAAGTCATATAGCTTTATTTCTTCACACAAAAATCATATAACTATGACTTTTTTTTACCAAAGTCATATAACTTTGTTTTCTCGCACAAAAATCATAAAACTTTCACTAACTCACACAAAAATCATAGTGGTCAAAAAATAAAATTTTCGGTAGTATTTTTTTATTTTTTATTTTTTATTTTCAGTCTAATAAATAATTATCCAATTAAAATAGAAAATATGTGAGTATATTTTTAGCCATTCCCAAAAATAATAGCCGATAATATNAAAATAGGAATGACCCAACCCACCCTGACTGAATACTCATATACGTAAGTTAAAATAATACCAAAAGTGAATTTTTCATCCATAAAAAATTTAGTTCGGAATGCATGAGATTCTGACAAAAAAATAAAAAAAAATAAAGGTATAATTAGAGAGCACTGAAATAAAAATGCTATCAATTTGAAAAGAAAAATAAAAGATAGAAGTACCATGTTTTAAAGGATTTACTATTCACTCTTAGTATTATTTTAATTTATATATATATGAGTATTGGGTCTGGTGGGCCAGGACGGGTTGGGTCATCCCTATTTTAATTGGATTATTATTTATTAGACTGGAAATAAAAAATAAAAAATAAAAAATTACAAAATAAGAAAATATTACTGAAAAATTATATTTTCCGATCACTATGATTTTTGTGTGAGTTTATAAAAGTTTTATGATTTTTGTGTGAGAAAACATAGTTATATGACTTTGATGAAAAAAGTCATAGTTATATGATTTTTGTGTGAGAAAAGAAAGTTATATGACTTTGGTGAAAAAAAGTCATAGTTATATGATTTTTGTGTGAGAAAAGAAAGTTATATGACTTTGGTGAAAAAAAGTCATAGTTATATGACCATTTGTGAAATTTATCCAGGATATAAACTTTCGTGTAAACCATTTTAGCGAACATATTCTATGATATATTTCCGAAACCTGATTTTCGCCAATGAATAAACGAAAAATTAAATTGTACGGAAGGAGGTGATCTAAGAGTGGGTTCTACTAATATACTTTAGATCAAGGCTGAGGAGACTAGTAATAATATAAAATATACTTCAGATCAAGCAAAGTTAAGCGAGAAGTGCACATAATCTTGGAGCAGCAATTCAGTATTGCACATTTAGTTGGAGTTATATATTTACAGGATTTATGCACAGACCACACTGTTAATATACAGCAAGAAATATCAGGGATTCGGAATATTATGCACTAATTCATCTTCTGTCGAGAAGATCGATAAATGTATACATACATTTTCGCCCTCATTTTTTATATTTACCAAGCACTTGCACTTATATGTGAATGTCAATAATACCATCTTCAAGTTTGATTGATATCATGACTAGGCAATTTAAGTGGAATTGCAACTTCCAAAAGCCATAGCAGTTCTCTCAACATGCTTCAGTAAGATCCCATATATTTTGTTTCTCACCCTTTGACAAACTTCAATTTCTGAATCATCCAAGTTCCCGCCGTCCTTTGGAGCATTCGCCTCCTTATTGATAATCACATCTAACCAATCATTGACTCTCTTCACCTTGTACATCATTCCTGCTATTTGGCTATCTAATACCATTGAAGAGGCTTTTCTTTCAACCTCATCTAGGTATTTCTCTACATGTCCCAAAAACAATTTTCTACACTCGTCCTGCAACGAAGAAGCTAGGACAGTGGCTGCAGGTGTTGTGATTCCCCTAGTCCATTGATCAGGTTGCTCATCTTTGTCAGATGACAATAAGAAAGGAATCTCATCGGTACTGTTCCTATGTGATTTAATGATATATGACCCTTTCGGTTTGGTACTTATTCGACTTGATGTGCTTGACTGCTTCATCATATTGGTGACAGCCATAGTGTTATTATGGATTGGATTGAGGGCAGTGGAGCATGGTGAAAGATCAAGAGCCACAGCAGATTTTACCCACATAGATGCATTTTTCTTTCTCTCAACTGCAATAGTCAATGCTTCCTTAACTGAATTGGTGTCAGCTTCTCCTGAAGTTCTAAGTGGACTTATGTTTGTCAGTGACTGCAATACCAATCTTGTCTGAGCCATGTCATCTTGAAGGTCAAAAAATTTATCAACATGAGGCTGGAGATCATCTTCTTCAGCTAAGTGGAACTCTGAAAATTTGCTGGAGTATGGAACATGTCTTAGTCACCATCCAAAATTAAGAACGATTGGTATGCGATAAGTAACACAATTAATGCACATAAAACAATAAGCCCATACAGTGCATTAAGTTTATAATGGCAAAACAATATAATGACTTATAATGGAAAATTGGAAACCGGAAGCAATGCACTCACGCTATATTTCAGCTCATGAGCAGGAATATTAACTGTCCCAATACCTTTCTTTCTTACGTTTTTTGATTTTGACATCTAATTGTTTGCGGACATTCTCACCACCATTATGTCTAATGTCATATGCTCAAATTATTTCATCTCTGGTATGGCAACTGCCAATAAAGTCCCTATATTGTCTTTGGGTAGTCAGTCGTGACTTTAATTAGCATTTCAACTCCTCCAGGTAACTCTTTTTTTCACCAGGTGCTACCTCTACCTTTACCTTGTGTGTTTCCCTATTTAGAAAATGGTAAAATGGTACATTTCACGATCTTTACAGGCAAAAGAACATGTTGATCTCCATTGATGCAGGAAGATTAACTGTTCATCTGATAATCATCACTTGCCAATTATGTAGGTCTAATTGCTGGCATAGGTTTCATGTCGACGTAGATGTCTAAATGATTTCTCCACTTGTGAAAAATATGCTATGGATAAGTAAAGCCATTATCAAGATTGTAACTTGAACCTAGTAGGCAGTTCTTTCAGCTTCACCTATACAGTTTTCGAGAGTTCAAGATCCTACTTTTCTATTATTACAACCTGAGCCTACATATAGGCCATCTTATCTTAAAGCAACAGGGACTAGACAAAAATCAAGAAGAATGCAAAGTGTTCGCAATAGAAAATAACCATGTTGCATAAAGTAGGATTTGTATCAGAAAGTGCACCTCAGGGAATTGAGCAACCTCTCAGCTGCACAAGCTTCTTGCAAAGCATCAGTAGCTGCAAGAAGAGCAATGTCTCTTTGCTTTACAACCTCCTGAAGTACCAAGGAAAAATCACAATGTCAGTAAATCACCCAACTATATATTCATGCAAGTATTACAATGAAAGTAACTTACTACCTTTCCAAGCTTCACCAAGCTCGAGGGGAGTGCGTCCCATGATATACCAGTTTCTGCCCCTCGTCTGTCATTAGCTAAATTTGTATTTATCTTGGAGAAAGAAGTTTTGCTATTAGTGGAACTCTTCATTTTCTTTGCAGAACCAACTTCTCTTCTTCTTGGTATTGAACTTGAATTTTCATCCGAGCTATCATACCTTACAGAACGAACTGGTGAAACCTGTCTATACAAAGTGAATAAGGATGAACTTGAAGGACAAACCACAAAAAGAATAGTATGCCAAATTCCTTAAGCATGGAAATATTAGCCAATGGCGCATAATAAAGAGAAAGAAAAGTATAGTCACATCAATTATGTAAAGAAAATGTATTAAATTCATATTGGACACCAATCACTGGATATTACACCAAATAGGTGCAGACACTACACAAACATCAATTTATGCGGTATTAAATTCTAATACCAAGCGTTGACTCAGAAACGAAGTTGCTAAAACCTTATCAACATGGCAGCTTTTCTCATCACATCTACATATTTGTACTTGATTTAGGTTTTAGTTGCATAAAAAAACTGTACAGAAACCATCCATCACAATGGATATGGAGTTTTCTCTTATTAACATTTTATGTGGCAACATTGATAGTAACCCAAACTTAGCCAGGCTTATGGATAAGCCAATTTCAAATTTTCATTTCAAAAAAGTTACTAGCAAAAGCATGGTACTTTTTTTATCCAAAACTTATACTCCATTGAAAGTACAATCTTCTGTACCGACCAGTAGATTTTCAGACTTCATATTATAGCAACAATAAACATGAAGGAAAGTAAATTGACAGTCAGACCCCGCAGTACTCACAGTTGCACTACGACTACGAGGTGGTCTGATATCGTGTTTAACAACTGAAGAATCAAAGATCTCTTTAATTCCCAAAATCTCTGACTCGTTCCAACTTTTTCTCTTGGAGTTATGAGACGAAAATGAGAGTGATGACAATATGCTTTCT